CAAATCCCCATGTAAGCTTCACCCCACCTGCATTTTGCAAATAGTCCATCAATGGTTTCCACCCAAATCACATTCCTTTGATCATTCTAGGTGAGCCTCTTCCAAACCAAAGGGGAGGGAAGCTCATTCAAACAGAAAAGCTTCTGGGAATTCTGGCTCTTAAGAGTTCATAGAGTTCCATTTCCCTGGAATGTTCATTAAGGATAAGAATGTAAGTCTTGAAATAGCATCGCAGCAGAAGGCAGGCTATAAGTTGGACATTTTTGCAAAGATTTTGGCCAGTCATCTTGCTTTTGTCAATGTCATGAGAGATACTCTTTTCTCCTTATCGGACACCCAAATGAATACCAAACTTGCAACGAAATAAGGGATTGACAAGTGGGAGAATTCCAGAAATGTCCTGCAAGAATTTTCCCCCTTTCAGAAACAACAATCTCTTTGTTCCATTGACCCTGAGAATCTTTCAATAATCTCTAAAGAAAAATTCAGCACCACTGAGCGACATGCTTCTTGCTGCACTCAGTCAGTTAATTTATTCCCTTGTGGTTTGGTTCTCTTGTGCTGTCTAAATTTAAGCTCCACGCAGATGACGGTCCCCAGATTATCGATCACTGTGTAGAGGAGGAAGGAAAGGGGTTTGTGTAGCCTCCAGCTTCATCTCCTGACCACCACGGTTCTCCAGATGCATGTTTTCTTGCTCCAAGCACAGTACAGTTATAATTATCTACACAGAGCTAATGATTGCAGCTCTGTAGGGCAAAGAACTAGGAATATTGACAGGACCAGATCTATTTTGCATGCTTTCTTTTGAGTAATACCCCCTTCCATTTTGACTTCTATGCTTCAGAAGGAGGAGGAGGGGGTATGAACGTTTATGCAGAGGAAATGAGAGAGAAGGAATGGCGCTGAGATACAAGGCATGGAAAACCCCTCTTTCGCACACTTGTTCCGTTGCAGGCTCATCACACTGTCCATGTCTCAGTTTTTATCTCCCATATCACATCCAACAGTTACCTCATTCATCAAGCAGCTAAAATATCAATGTGATGGATTTTTTCAATTTCGTGATTGTATTTTAAGCTACTTCATACCATTCAAGACAATGATGGATGAATGTCAACAGACCAAGGTCAAGAAGCACCGTGTCTCTCCTTCTATGGCCTTCCTCACATTTCTTACAGCTGAAGCCCAGCTGAAAGACATGAAATGGCTGTCTTTACATCTCAACGGAGACCCTGCTCTTACTATTAGCACACACTATTTGCCGCTGGGTTCCAGGTCTGCTGTGCCTGTTGCTTTGAAGGCAGTAAACTCAGTGGACCAGGTGCAATGGCACAGGCAACAAACTGATTTTAAGCAGTAAAATGTTTCAGAGCATATAAGATTGTCAAATCTCACACGATTTGTGCAATCTCGCTCTTGTGTTCTCATATGACAGCACCGAAAAGTCATGAGATGCTAGTGTTCTCATCTGAAACTGGCTAGTTTAAAAAAATAATAATTTTTGCTTCATTTTGGGGTTCCACAGATACCACGGGGAGAACTGTGTTCCCACTGAGAACACAAACATTCAGTTAGACCAGAGATTAGTGCAGGAAAAACCATCATGTACTGCCATATTCTGGGTCATTAACCACCATCTCAGAAACTGATGGGAAAGCATTTTGCCTCCCTGAAGCTGGCATCCTTCTCCAGGTGTGTTCAGATGGCATCTTCCAGAATTTCAAGCTAGCCTGATCAATACCTCTGGAAGATGCCAGGCGGAGGAATGTTGCTCCAAGACGAAGAGGTGGACAATGTGTGCAGACCAAAAAGCCCCACATGGTACAGAGGCTGTGCTCACTACACAAGGACATAGCCCTCCTACTTTGCCAGCAGTATCCATGAGGCCAGAATTTACATTTATTTATCTTACTTATTTATTTATTAGATTTATATAGCCACCCATCTCACAAATGTGACGTGGCATACAATAAAGAACCAGTTAAAACAATTAAAACAACAGTTAAAAACAGACACAGATACAAATAAAAATAAAATAAAAATAACACCCTTACTTAAATAAAATAAAGTACTTTAATGCTCAGTCTGTCCTTTTCCACTTGCCTGTCTTGATGTTCCAAGGTTGCTGATTTTCCAGAAGGCCCAGCAACCATGCAGTCCTCTTCAGTGCAGAACATTTTATTTTGCTCAGTGTTCATTCAAAAATGCAAGGTTAAATTAGTTTGCATTAAAATTTGAATCGAACGAATACCCCCTTCATAGCAAGCATCGTGAGCCACCCAAATCGAATCAGTGGGGAGAAGTCAAAAATGAAGACTATTGAGGTAGCATCAAATCCTCAGCCCAAAGAAGACCATTTGGATCGAGAGGTCTTCTCCGCCCCTGCTCTTGGCTTCGTGGCAAGTATAGCATGACTTCACTTAAGGTCTTAAACTCTTACGGTAATTAACAGCAAAAAATGTAACCAGTGCCTTTCAAAAGTTTTTGGACTGGCCACTTTTTTCGGATTTAACAATCATCCATTATAAAAATAAACAAGCTCTATCTTCCCATTCCCATAAAACCTCAAAATATGTAAATCCCACACCGAAGTATATAAACTATTAATAGAAATGTTTCATCACAAAACTAATGTTTCATAATGAAACGAAAAGAAGAAATACAGGGAGTCCCCAGTTTAAGAACGAGTTCCGTTCCCAAGGTCTGTCCTTAAGTCGAATTCATACGTAAGCCGGAACAGTATTATTGTATAATACTGTATAAGTTGTATTGTATAATGAACTTGAACCATCGTGTATTTAACTCGAACGATTGTGTATTTAACACAGATTTTGCTTCAAGGGGCTCCGTTCTATGGGTCATCTGTAACCCAGGTCCCTGTACATAGTCAATCTTGGTTAATCTTTCGTTAAAAAAACGAAATAGCGTAAGGCCATGATAACCGACTATGAGGACATTTCAGGTCTGTAGCTAGACTGGGAAAAACATCCTAAAGCAGGCGTCTCTGTGGGGTATGGTCAAAAAAGTCAAGATGGCAGCTGCAATGGTGCAATTAAAGCTCTGCCCATTTTTAATGTCTAGGTCACACTCAATGCCCATAAAAGAACAGATGAAGTTTTGATTGCACCATTGTGGCAGCCATCTTGATTTTTTTGACCACATACTGCAGATACCCCTGGCTGAAGGAGGCAAGGCAGGACTATTATGTGGGAAAAATTAAATCTGTATATATATTTTTAAATGGGTCTTATTTATGTTTTGCTTGAACATACATACGTGTGCGGGTATGTGTGTGTATGTGTGTGTGTAGTGAGATGATAAAATGTTCACTTTAGAGCACTGTTTTTCAACCTTGGCAAATTTTTCACAATCGGGTGGTCCCCCCCCCCCAATTAAACCCCACACACCAAGTTTGGGGGAGAGGGGGTGTGATGCACA